CTCTCTCTCTCTCTCTCTCTCTCTGCTTTCAATCCCTCATTTGCATAAAGTATTACAACAAAGAAAGAGAAAAACAGTGAACAATATTTTGTTTGGCGAACTAATATCACAACTAATGCTAATGCAATGTAACTCTCAAAAATACATTGTTTTCTTCAAGACACCAAAAATAAGATTCCTTTTACTTTCAGATAGAGATATATATTTCGAAAAAATTCATAAATAAATAAATAATATCTGGAAACATGTAACGCACTCACAAATATACTGAAAGTAAAAAATTTAAGTTAATTTTACAAACAGTTTGTGTTTCGAAATCCTGTTGAAAAATGTGATATTTCAACATAATACAATAATAATAAATTCATTGATTCAGTAACTGTTAATATCATAGCAATATACAGAATATTCTAAAGTTATATTAAAACCTATATTTATGTCAAATTCTTTTATTCTCATATTATTATGATATTCAACTAAAAGTGAATTGAAAATATGATAAAAGACATGCTTTCACTCAATCTACTGATTAAGATCTTATCTAAATTTATAATTTTTTCATACAATATATAAAATAAATACTATTCTCTATTATGTGACAGAATTTTTTGAATGAACGGCAAAAAATCGAAAATCGATTAAAATTTGAGTTGAAATGCTGTGAAAGCCATAGAATTAGTGTCGGATAACAGATATGAAAGCCTGATATGTATTGTCCTTTCAGTCACTCTTAATAAGAATTTCAATTTATATCACGAAAACTATTTTATATAAAATAAATAAAAAATATCTCAAAATATAATTCATCATTTCTTTTGATGAAAAAACTTCTCTCAAATCTATTAAAAGCAAAATAATGTCTCAAATTTCGTTAATCTCTTTCATGTGAACCATATATACAATTTTGACTCTGTTTATGGGTTAAATAGTTTTGAAATATTAAATTCAATTAAAAACTTTTATAATCAAATTAAATGAGTTTTAAGTTAAAACTTTACACACAAATGTAGTTAACATTTAATTCAATTAAAAATAACACATTTATGTTTATCTGCCTCAATCGGTGAGATATTCATGAAATGGTGGTTAAAATAAGTATAGTTTTCAATGCATTGAATGGTTGGTGTGTTTGAGATAATAAACCAGTTTATCACGCATTCAATGCACTCTTTCGCCAAAATATGTGTTAAAAATAGCGCCAAACCTATCGCTAAGCGCAGTGACAGACAGAGAGCGCTCTTAACACCAATACTATGCCTTCAGTTTGGCTTTCATTGCATTTACACCACAAATGACACTAAAATATGTGAAAAATCAATAAATAATGGACACAATTAACATAAACGGCAACCATTCACACAAAATGCAATCCCATAAATGGCCATCATACCTATGGCGCACATATAACCCGCACAAATACACGACAATTACTGAAACACCAAGTTCAAAAGTATTGCGAGCTGTAGCGCACAAATAGGTTGCATATGGGGAGTAGGGGTGGCCGGGAGTGCCAAAGCATACTTACCTGGCGCCGGGTCAGCCGTGATCAACAAGGCGGCGGCCCCGGGTCGAGTCGGGTCCATTGCACTAAAGGACCATGATGAAGCCCGCCACTATTCCAAAACGGAACAGATGGGGCGTGTAATTTTTGGTAGCGGGGGATTGCGTTCGCGCTAAACCCCCTTTTTTATTCAATGCAAAAATAGACGCACAAAATAATACATACACGCACATACACTCTCTACTACTCCCCCTTACATACACTTATTGTGCCCACAAATCACTCTAACGTACATATAATCTCTATGTGTTTGAGACTCCTGTCAACCCCTGCATTCTCTATGGACAACAACTGTCTCAATGTCTCAGTTGTGAACACTTTGTGTGTTTTGCGGCTAAACTATAGCCACATTTAGCGTACAAACTATACGCGAGCTTATCATTGCATTTCAAGGCAAAAATAAGTAAAAACCTTTTTAAGGATAATTATAGCCTTAAATTAAAAGATTTGAATTTTATTATAATTTATAATTTTTCTAATATAAAATTAAAACCAGAAATTATTTTTGTAAATCTCAAAGTTTCCTCTATTTGTTAAACAAGTGTTCATTTGCCTAAATATGAACAAAAAATATCTGTTTTACAACTAAATGTTTGTTATCACAAGTTTTTCAACTATCATTGGATGACATATCATATGTTATTTAATGGTCTGATAGTTTGCCAGAAATACGGTTAAAAGTGTGAAGTGAAACACTATTTAAATAAATTTTATTAAGACTTTCTATTGAAACGATTGGAAAATTGAATATAACTTAAAGTACAAAATACTTAACATTTGGTGCAATCGATGGCATTGAGTGAGGTTTAGGGCATTCAATAGTGTTGTAATAAGTCAATGATTAATCAAAATGATTAAAAATGCAAATAATTTTATCTGTAATTAGGTCCAAAACATGTTTCATTAAATAACTTTTTTATAATAGTTAACAGCAAACTAAATTTAATTGTAAAGTCAAATAAAGTGCAAAACATATTGAATGAATTGTTTTGTATGAAAAGTTGGCGTATTTTCTGAGCACTAGTTTTATATGAAATGAAATGATTGACTGAATGTCTCATTGAATACACACTTCAGTCAAACGGATATTAAATTCAGTGAATATTAACCAATTAATTGAGACTTCATTTTCATCCTAACTATTGCCACAAATTAATAAATCCATGGATTTTGTAAGTATCACATGAGTTACCATTGAATCTGAACTACAAATAGACTAATGATATGATTATCTGTTGCAGAATAACACACCACTCGTGGTGTCATTGCTGGCCATCAGCGGTACCACTCTTTTCATACTCTATAAGCTGTTCTCCAAGAAATCAAATCCAAGATTTCTGGTCAATCCGGAAGAGAAATATTGGGTTCCGTTGATAGAGAGGGAAGACATCTCTCACGACACCCGACGCTTCCGATTTGGTCTGCCATCAGATCAACACATATTAGGTCTTCCGGTGGGACAACATATCTTCCTCACGGCTCACGTCAACAACCAGTTAGTCATCAGAGCCTACACTCCCGTCTCCAGCGATGATGACCAGGGATTCTTCGACTTAGTCGTCAAAGTTAGTCATCATTTGCCACTCATTTACCACACTTTGCGTGCATTTGTCAATGTCTTCACTGTTTAACTCAATATGCAATTAGTCTTTAGTCTTATATCTTATTGTGAGGAATGAGTCGTTTAAGCATTTTTAGTCACAAGAATTTAATTAATTCTAAAACTTGTAGCCAGGTCTTAATTAAGTCTAAAACTTGTAGCCAGGTCTTAATTAAGTCTAAAACTTGTAGCCAGGTCTTAATTAAGTCTAAAACTTGTAGCCAGGTCTTTATTTAGTACCGGTAATAAGTGAACTGATTGTTAGATGACTAATGATATGAATTGAAATGAAGGTCTACTTCTCCAACACTCACCCGAAGTTCCCAGAGGGCGGCAAAATGTCTCAGTATTTGGAAGCCATGAAAATCGGTGATAAGATGCAAATCCGTGGACCCAATGGTCTCCTCGAATACAAAGGTAGAGGAAAACTATCGGTGAAACCGGACAAAAAGAAACCGCCGGTCCTTCAGGACTATAAGAAGATCGGAATGATTGCCGGCGGCACTGGTATCACACCATGTCTTCAACTCATTCGACAGGTCTTTAAAGACCAAAACGATAGGACAGATCTATGGCTTCTTTACGCCAATCAATCGGCAGATGATATCCTTTTGCGCAAAGAGTTGGAAGAAGTGGCCAAAGAGCAACCCAACCGCTTCCACCTCTGGTATACTGTGGACAGACCTGAAACCGACTGGAAATACAGGTGCTTTTGATGACTTATATTTCACAACTAAAACTCATACTAATTCTTGACTCATATGTTATATTTAGCTCCGGATTTATAAACTCAGACATGATTAGAGAGCATTTGCCGGCACCGGCAGATGACACTTGTATTCTAATGTGTGGACCGCCGCCGATGATTAACTTTGCCTGTAATCCTAATCTGGATAAACTGGGTCATCCCAACAACAAGAGATTTGTTTATTAATGCCGCCCACACTTAACCGTTATTTGAATTGTAGTTTAATTTTATATTTTGTTTTATATTCTTAAAGACTAATTCAATTATGTAATTGAATTATTATTTGTTTTGATGGTTCATTATTTAATATAATATACAGATTAATTGTACCGGTTATATTCTGTATAATACCGGTAATTATTGATATCTAGACTACTGTCACATTATAGCAATATTTTATTAAATTTACTTTTGATTGCAATTTAGTGCTTAATATAAAACAAACTTAACATTCATTAGACGATTCTTTGAAAACAGTGATAATTATAGTGAAGTTTATAAAAAAAATGTAAATTGTAATCAAAATTTGTATATTTTATATAAAATTTCAATTTAAAAATATTGAATTACTTTAATTACATATGAATTGTGAGAAAATAGTGTAAAACATATTAAACAGATCTAAAAGTGATTGTCAATCAAATAAAAAACAATTGAAAAACGAGATTCATTTGATTGGTGTCTTAAGTTAAGAGTTTAGTCGATATAAAAGCACAGAATAAGGCGATTGTGATGACAATTACATAATTTGATTGCATTTTCATCGAGTGATTACACCACTCATCGAATTCACAGAAACAATAAGTGGTTTCTGAGAAGAAATCCTTCTTGAGATCCAATTCGTTGACACTATTCTCCACATAAACGGCGAGTTTTGGTTGAGTGGCGGCCGGACGACAGCCCTCGAAACGGTCGGCAGGAATGTCACGTCGGAAGGAGATTATGTTTGACAGGCAGTCCCGGGTTATCATCAGATCAGCTGTAGGTAGGGGTGAAGACATTGGGTTTAGACATTGGGTTTAGACATTGGATCACTCTATGGGTGTCTCATATCATACATCCTTTTTTGTCGATTATTTTCACGCATTTATCATCACTTCGGGGACAAGTGATGGCTGAATGTATCCACCAGTTGACGGCATCCACAGTACAACCTGGCTCACTTGACACACAGGAATAGCACCATAGGTTGCACCCAACTGTCACACACGAGACAATGAGACCATTATTCACATAAATATCATTACAATTAAGTTATAGTTAATTACCATTAGTTACGGACAATATGAGTGTCACTAAGAGGACAGGTATGTAGTGATGGGTGTCTGTGCTCTTCATAATTGACACTTTCATTCAAACAATCCTTTAATAAATATTTCTTCTGTTATTTGATTTTCAAATATTTAATATAAATTAGTTTAAGACATAATTGTAGTATCAATCGGATTAGTGATCAAAATCAGTGAATATATCGTTAGAAGTGATGTTTATTTGATTTTGAGGGACAGGTATGCGAACCACGCCTTCCCTCCCATACGCTATGCTGTGTTTGAAAAGTGTTTGAAAANAAATTAGTTTAAGACATAATTGTAGTATCAATCGGATTAGTGATCAAAATCAGTGAATATATCGTTAGAAGTGATGTTTATTTGATTTTGAGGGACAGGTATGCGAACCACGCCTTCCCTCCCATACGCTATGCTGTGTTTGAAAAGTGTTTGAAAAACAGGTAGTAATTCAATACCTGTGCTCATAGTCTATGCCATAGAGTCTATGCATTCATACGAATACACCGTATCTGTACTAATAGTTACATAAATAATGCTTTTCTTATGTCTTGATACTGAACTTATCATAACTTATTATAAAAATATAATTCTTTATAATATACAGAATANAGAGTCTATGCATTCATACGAATACACCGTATCTGTACTAATAGTTACATAAATAATGCTTTTCTTATGTCTTGATACTGAACTTATCATAACTTATTATAAAAATATAATTCTTTATAATATACAGAATATGTAGTAATATTCTAACTTAAACTATTGAAAACATAACATAACTGCAACTTTTCGTAATTTCCTGTCAAAGATATTAAGTTTAGTTTTGAACAGAAAGTATACTTTAATAATGTAGTCAATTTGGATTGTTCTGTCATTATGACACTTCTGTAAACAGCAAATTCAAGTGTAGTATTTGTGGCATTAAGTGTGTAAAACATTTTACAAATTCATTTACACTTAAATTGACTTATTCTTTGAAATACGAGAAGAAACTAATGTTTGGGATGTTTCAGAGATATTCAGTATTTTAAGAAAACATTTTAAGGCAACTTTTCTAAAAGTTTTGGTTTCTAATTGAAAATATTTCAAAACATTATCTCATATCTAATTAATTCTGATAAAATGTAAATAATACTGTATGTATAAAATTACATTAATACTGTAGTATATTTGTAAAATTGTTATTTTAGCAAATACAATTTGTATCATAAATAAAATTATATTTATAGAAATGTTTGAAATCATTACCATTTATTCATTTGACACATATTTAACAAAAATTATTATTGTTTAAAGTCACTTAAACTTTTTATTATTTTTACAGAAACTTGATTTTTTAAATGAATAAAACATATAAACAAAGAGTTGTTGATTTAGGAAAATAAATATTTTTTATTACTCCCAAAAAAGTGCTGACATTTGACTGTTAAGCAGAAAACAATTTCTAGATTTTTAACTAATCGATCACTAAATGTTGAAAAAAGACTTGAAAAAACTTCAAACGTATTGAAAATTCATTTCTATTTTCTATGGGAAGACAAGTTTAATATTCTTATGAAAATAACTTTAAGATAAATATTTGAATTTTATAAAGTAAACCCAAATTATATTAACTGTTAAATTGTATTCATTTGGTACTAAATATAAAGTGAAGGAAAGTTGAGACATCTTAGGCTATCTCTTAATGGATCGCAAAATAAATAAATTACATGAAAATTATAATTAAATTAAGATATTATGTATATATTTGCAAAACAGGATATCTCTATAAATAAGTGAATGAGTGATAAGAATCTTAAATCGATAGCTATTTCTCTTAAACAATATATGATTTTTGTTTTCATTTAAAATTCATTCGTTGAGTAATTAAATTCTCTTTGACTTCACTTACGATCAGATTATAAACAAATATTTGGACAAAATTTAGGAAAATAAATAAATAAGAATTTTGAGGGAAAACTGAGAACAACTTATTTATAGCTTTAGTTTTATATACAATACGTTTGAGTAAATGTTAAGATCATTGAAACATATGAATGAGTGGTAAAAAAACTTCAGAACCGAAAAGCTAACCAAACATCTCATATGTTATGTGTTTTAATATAATCTCTAAAAGACTAATCAAATAAAGACCTAATCATTGAATGTTGTTGTGAAGCAAATGTTGAAAAGTTATGTATTTGTTGTCTTCTCTAATGTATTGCTTAGTGTTGTCATCAGAGGAGACATCAGTGAATTCGGATTACACGAGTTGGACGACTACAATGAGATGATCAGATGTCTGTCCACTTTCAAAGAAGACTTCATTGAATGCAATCGTGATATTAGACGACTGGCCAAAACTGCTTATAATGTGTTTCCCGAGAATTCCACTCTTGGGAAAGCATTCAAATGTTGTGGCATTTGGATGGTTAGGTATGCCTTATATAACAGCAACTTATATATTTTCACTAATCCTTAATTAATGTTTATTTTAATGATTTGAAGTGATTTTTATTGATTTACTCATTAATCTGAAGGGACTGTTGGTATAAGAAAGCGAAGGAAAGTTGTCCTAAGAATCAATTGCTTCTAATCCATAGAATGCCTCATAAGTTGTTACCATTGCTTCACGAATGGTGTGAAGACTATAGCGACGATTCATTTATTTGCAGAGCTCCTCATTTTTGGCCAATTATTGTGCTTTTGTTTGTATTAATAACAATCATTTCTATTATCTGTTGTGTTATTTGTTGTGTAAGAAGAAGGAGAAGTAAATCAAAGGATATTAAAGACATTGAATCCCAAAGTAGTGAACAAAAGAAACGCTATAATAATAATGATATTGAAATTGAATCGGACGGTTAGGTTTTCATATTACATAATTGTCTTGTGTTTTATAACTTTTATAAAAGATTTTGCTAACAAATTGTATTGTCATTTGTAAATACAATATTTAAATATTTAAGCTTTTAATAAAAAAATCACAAATGCAATTTATTTATGTTTACAGTTTATAAACTTATTTTAAAGAATTGTAATTTATGTTAATTGTTTTAATTAAATTTAGACTATTGGTTAGTTTCAGAATCTGGTAATTGTTTAGTAAAAATCTAGTAAATATTAAAACAGCTTTGGATAATGTTATTAACAAGTTATTTAAAATTTATCAAATTCTATTATTTACTAATTAAAATATTTTGTTTTTTCTGTATTTAAAAATTCATAAAATTCCAATTATAATATTGAATTAAAAGCGATTGCTTGCATTTTATTATATGTTCAGATATAAACTCTAACTTCCGTATTGGTGATCAAAAATGCAATTTAATCAAATTTTAGCGTACTTTTAGGTTTACTGTTAAATAAATAAGTAATAACAAAATTGTATGACTCAATCAAAACTTTTGTATTATTAGAAAGTCTTCTGTTTTTCAAAATTCTAGTCAATGGACTCAATGTTTATTAAATTGAATACTTTATGAAACCTAAGCAATTGATTACTGTTTGGGTTGAGTTAAAAATTCTCATACATTCACTCAACTGTTTATTCATTATTTATGTGAAATGTTTGTTCAGTTCTTCAAATAAACCTAAATTTAAATTCTATTTAATGTTTTGCAATAATTAATT